AGGTGTTTGAGATTGAGGACCCCGACAATGAGTGGGCTGTTAGTAAAATCATCGGACACGTCGGTAAAGGAACTGACGCGATTTTCGAAGCCGAGTGGAAGTCCGGGGACCGGACTTGGATTCCTTATCGGACGGCTGAACCGTTAGGTGCGTTGAGAATGTACCTGGAGGCGTTAGGACTAGAGTCAGTCGATCAGCTCCCCGAGGGCTCGGGGACGCCACCGCCTGACGACCCACAGATCTTTTCGGGTCATGTCGACGTATTCCTGCAGAGCCTTATCAGCCAGGTCTGCCAGGAATATAACAGGTACGTCGACTCACCACATTCTTCACCCCAGCCCCCTGTTCTCGATCATCCGCCGCCTGCCAGCTCTCCTCGTCAACGCCGACGCCGCCGTCCCAACCTCCAGGCCGCCACTGCTCACCATGCACGTCCACTCAACCCTCTGCCCGGGCGGAGATCTACTTCTCACGTCCGCCCACCTTTCCGGGATCCACGTCTACCCCGCTCAACTCCTCCGCTTGTACCTCGAACACGAGACTCACCTGCGGGAGCTGGTCAGCGGGGGCAAAAGTTTCGATTTCGCCGAGCATCCGATACCGGCCGGAATAGACACGTTCGTGGCCATATGGAACGAGGACGCACACAGCCTGTACGGGTTCTCGTCGGTCGATCCCAACTCGGGCGCTATAATACTCACCACGCGCCCTCCCCCGCCCGCCGAGCTCCTCTATCCCACGCTCCTACGCGAGGAGAAGTTAGAAGACCGGTTCAAGCTCTCCCGCGAGGAGCGACAGCTCTTGGAGAGGCTCAAGGCCGACGCCGCCATGCGCGAGTCCGGCCGCGTCGAGAAGTCTCGCCGTCAGTACGAAGGGCGCGAGGCTCGTCGCAAGAGCAAGGCCCGTCTCGGGGCCCACTCCTCGGCCATGCGCAAGGTCGCCTCGGCTCTGGCCACTACCCTCGACCTCCAAAACCAAGCGGGTCTCGACCTGGGTTTCGAGGCGGGGTCGCCCTCGAACGCGGGTTCCCCAGGGGGGGACATCGGCCTCTCTCAACTCCTCAACGTCCCGGACTTCGCGTCCGAAACCCCTCACGCGGGCGGGGAGGACACGGCCATGGAATTCAACCCCGACGAGACCAAGGACGATACGAACGCGTCCTGAACGTGGACGCCCCGCCTGCGCACCGGCGCGGTCGTCCAGGAGGGCGTATGTAGCGCCCGCGTCACGCGCTACTTCTCTTCTCTCCCTTCGTACCTGATCGACTCCGTG